CAACAATGAGGTAGTTTTCCAAGTTATCAACATGATTAAATAAAATTAGCCAGAACTAGTTGCTGTTTGATAAGACTGAGTTAATGTGCTCATATTATTTAGGTAGATCATGGAAAATCTGGAGAAAATTTATAGGGAGTGAGGTAAAAATCACCTTTTTAGGTGATATGAGTTACTTTCACATAAGTTATGGGTTTCATTTTAGTTAATAAAATTTCTTCTAGGGGGGATTAAAGATGAAAATACAAGTGGCTGCCAGACAAATTTGATTGTGATCATACAAGCTTGTAAAAATGTATATTTTAATTTCTAATGAGAATTATAGAAAAGGAAGAATAATCCATTAGTACATTAATACATAACTTTAATATAAAACATATAATACATTTAGAGAAATACTACTAATCCAAATAATGAAACTTGAATTTTAAAATAAAAACACATTTTATTGCTTTTATGGTATCGAATTTTGTGAATGAAGTAACAATTTTGGGTTCAAAGATTTGTGCATAATAGAACAAGTCTCAGCATGGGTTTGGAGACCAGTTGAGGAGGAAAGCTTTAGACACTGCTGTTTTTAAGGCTCTGACTTTGACTCAAAGTAGACAATATATCCTCATTAAGATTTTTCTTTCCTGGAAATCATTAATGAATTTTGACTATGAATTTCCCTAGGAGAAAACAGTTTTCCAGCTAGGCAATTGTAACATAGGCTATAGAATTTTCATAATGTACTGGCAACTTTTGGCCAGTCTCACATATTACATTGTTAAAAATATGTCAGCACAATTCTATAGAATACTAACATATTTATAGAGAGTGGAGACTCATGCTGGTGAGTAAAAATACCTTGAAAGAGGACTCAAATTTAGTTCCTGACCTGTATGTTAGTATTGAAGTTAGTGCTATAATACAGGGCCTTCCTGTTTTTTTTTTTTCCTGTTACTGTGGAAGGAAATACTTTGTGCATGTACATTTTTGTTTGTTTACTTTTACTTTTGATTCTGTTAGGAAAAGTACATAGTCATCTTAGGCTGTGACTTCCCTAAGTTCAGCTCCAGAGCTCTAGTACATTCCTTTGTCACTTTTGTTCATGTGCCATAGGCCATTGATTTTCAACAGGACTGGTTTTTATGTTCACTGTTCCACTTCAGTATCACATCATCATTTACAGAATGTTTAAAATAAAACAAAATAATCTCAAATTTTTGTACTGCATCTTACTCAGTAGCATGAGGCAATTAAACCAAAGAGTGAAGATTAATATAAAGATTAACTGATAGTGAAAGCATAACACACATGACATTTTTGTGTAAAAAAAATAAAATGCCCGAAAATAACAAATGTTATATTTTAATATGCCTTACACACATTGAATGTGGGGTAGCACATTTTTGTGGAATATAAACTTTAACTAAAACAGCACTAAGGTAGCAATAAATATTTTAATCACATTTTAGTGTATTACTCAGAAATTGCTCAGGGTTTTTTTATACATTTGTGATAAATCCAATTTTTAGACTGACTGAAAAATAAATGTTATAAACACAAGCCTGGTAATTTAATGATATATATATATATCTTAATTACTTTTTGAAAAAAAAATTCTCCATTTCATAGTGTTGTTTAGTAAGAGGAAAGGGAAATGTTAACAATTTGTCCATGACTTAAAGATCACCTATTAGCCATGTTGCCCTAAGTCTTAAATCTCTTCTATGTAGAGACACTGAGCAGAAGCCCTGTTCTTAGCTACAAAGGCCTAAACATACCCCTGAAAAGCATACTGAACCTCCTTGATTATATTTCTTATTCCTAAGCACTGTTTTAGTTTGTAAATTGAGTATTAACTGGGCAGTAATGTAAAGTTTAGGTCCTGGACAACCAATCTGAATGAATCTTTCCATGTGGATATACAAAAACTAAATTTAAACTTGGCATTCGCTATTAGGAATACAGTCTTGGTATTCAATTTCAAACCCCAGCTTGTGGCCAGGACAGTGAGAGTCATGAATTGTTTCTAGTCTCTCTTGGAAAATAAAACAGTTTTTTCTGTTTGACGAATAACTCTGGTTGCCTATCAAGGGGAAGAAGAGTGACAATATCACAGAAAAACTGTGTTCACTCTCCTTGTTGACTTTGAGTATAGAGAGATATTTTTCATTAGCCGTATAGCCAGCACTAAAAATAAATATAGGACATTTAGTAGAAAACCCATACCTGCTTCTGTTCATCTGCTTTTAATGCATTTCCTGTCTTGTAAGATATTCCTTCCTTAATTTCTAATTCCTTTTAATAACTTATTTTCCCATTTCTACTACTGAATTTTTATGTTGTATATGAAAGAGAATATCAGTGTTTGAGAAAATGCACCTTTACGTGAAATTAGGATTTGCTTTGTTTTTTTTTTTTTTTTTTTGCAAATTTAGATGAGTATCACTTGGAATTCCACATTTATCCCATTGACATTATTATGTGATTTCAGTTGTTTGATTAGCCTTTGCCTAGAAAAAAATGCTTAATATTTGAAAATGGGATAGAACATTGTCTAGGACAGGGTGAACACCAGCCTATCCCCTCCTTTTTTAGATTTAATGTTTTTAATTTTGTGTGTATGTGTGCACACACATTTTTGTAGTCAGTATGCTTGTGGAGTCAGTTGTACTTTTCCACCAGATGTGTTCCAGGCATTGAACTCAGTTCCTCAGGCCTGGTAGTATGTGTCTTTACTTGCTGAGCTGTATGATTATCCCACCAAAATCATTTTTGTTAAATATTATTATCAGCATTTGTTCATTTACTTACTGTCTATGGCTCTGTCCATACTATATCATAGTTAAATTGGTACAAATATGACAATATGTATTATGTATTCACTTTTTTTTTCAGAAAATTTGCTGAGTTTTTTTTTTCTCAGTCTGTCTTTATAAAATACAAGTAAATGTATGACTTGGTTATTTGAGGATATTAAAGGTAGGCAATATTGGCTAAGATTATTAATTGTCTTGTTTTAGGTTGAAAGTAAAAATAGAGAAAACTGCTGTTTTATGCTTATTTGGTTGCATGGAATAGCGTATCATGAAAATCAATCTATTCTAGCTTTGTATTGATATTTTTAAAGGAGGTGACTAATTAGTTGTACCTTTATTCAAAGAAAACTAAGACTTCTTTTAAAATAATAATTGTTTTTTAAAAGTAGCATTCCAACTAAAATTATTTAAGTAAAGCTGCTTAAATGCTAGATGTTTCACTGATTTGTAAATGCACAGATGAATTTTACTCTTTTGTTCTTTTTCTATTAATTGCTTTAGTGTAGTTATACTGATATTTTTTAATTAAGAAATTTCAAGTTAATGTTTCCAGTGTCAAATAATATACTATGCATAAACTTTTTCAAAGTACTCTAGAGGTTTCCAAGTACAAGCATTGTTTTGTCTTTTTAATTCAAAGCTACATGCTGTTAGGGAATAAAAATGCCATAATATGGCTATCCTTTTAACTTTTAGTTGAAAGCCAGATAACACTTTTTGTTTGAAGTTATATGGCTTTGTTACAAATAGATGCATTAAAAACGCTCTCTACTTTCTTGTGATGTTTCTTTCATGTTTATATTTTAAGATGTTATGGATCTGTTTTGTGTATTTGTTTTCTGATTGCTGTGCAGTTTCTAGTTGAAAGCCAGTGAAACATGAAGAAATTATTTGGAGGCAAGGATGTAGAAAAGGGTGTTCAAGTATAAATACAAAAGGAACATCTTAAGGTTTCTCTACCAGCCCTTTATCTTCAGCACAAGAAGCTTTTTAGACAGATAATTTCAGAGGAAATCATCAAACTATCATAGATTTTGGACTTTGAGTAGATTGCATTGCAGTTTAACAATAGATTAAAATTTCTTTGCATTTCCTGTGCAAACAGTAAACTGAGGTGCAGAATAATTCTGGAAATTTCCTTCAAATTACCACCACTGTAGTATGCTAATCCTGTATTATCCCATATGTGATGCTTCCTGACCTATGTGTAGTTTATAATAAATTCCTCTTCCTTTTTTCTTGCCTGGAAAATGAAACGTCTTTCTTTCATACCATTGCTACATCCTAACAAGAAATGACAAATTATCATCAATGAGGTTTAGGTTTTACTGAATCCAAGGCATTCCATGTGGCTTTACTTGTTCTTGATTGAAGAAAGGGGCTGAACAATCATTTAGAGTCTAGTCTAACTCCCTGACATTCCTTAGTTTAGAAACCATTTTGGTGATGATTACTAAAGCAGTCAGAAATACATGAAATGAAATAAATAATCCACCAACAAAACTTCCTGATATAAATTAACTAAAGGATAGTTTTATTAGTGAGGGAAGGCAAACAAAAATTTGGAGTTTTAATGAGGCTAAGGAAGGCTTTCTAAGATGCAAAGGAAATTAAAAATTGTGTTGTATTATCACACATAATAATGAAATGATCTTCACAGGCTTAAAAGAAAGACACAAAATAGTTCATATCATGAACAGACCAAACTAAATTGGTTATGGTGCTTGATCTCATCAATAGCCCAAGTAGTAGGATAGTTATTGACTGGAAAAGGCGTAAGGGGGTAGTTACTTGCTGATGAAAATATCTAAAATGTATAACTGAGTGATGGTTATATACTTAGCCTTATTTTTCCCTAGTTAAGATTTGTGAACTTTATAGTTCAATAAAAATTTAAATTTTAATATTGAAAATAAGTAGGTCATAGAGAGGGATGCTCCATTTAACATTAGTAGAGCGCCTGTAAGAAGTGTGGCAAAACTCTGTCCTAAAAACTCTGCTGAGCTTAGCAGAGGAACCATTTCCGAATAAGAACATTAATATTAATTTTTGTTCCAAAACATTTCAAACCCCAAAGATGCTTAGCATGCAGTAAAATCACTTCCATTGAGCCGCATTAAAGTGAAGGGTACTGAACAGAGGTCTTTTGATTCTCTGCAGCTTTATTTCAATGCTTTTGTTTTTACTTTCCAGATTGGCAGATTGCTACTCTGGCTTTACTCCTGGGCGGTGCTGCCATCATTCTCATTGCATTCCTGGTGGGCTTGATTTCGATCTGCGTGGGATCTCGAAGGCGTTTCTACAGACCTGTTGCTGTTATGCTTTTTGCAGCAGGTAAATAGATTAATTACATTCAAACCAGCATTAAAGATTCATGAACCTTTCTACCATTCTCCCTTCTCGTGCATCAGCATGTGTTTGCAACTTACAAAAAAAAAAAATTGAGAGGCATTTGTTATATTTTAAGGTAAATTGGCTGAAGGATTATCATATTATCAGTTTTCAGCATGTTAAGCATTTCACAGAACAGTGGCAACTTCTAAACGTCTGGCTAAAGCGTGAATAAATAAAACGTCTTAGGCTGGATATATAGCTCAGTAGTAGAATGCTTGCTTAGCATGCCTTTAAGCTCTAGGACCTAGAGTTTAGGTTCAATTCACACCACTGCAAAAATAAAAACCCCAAATCCAAAAAAACCTCCACAGGGCTGCTATTGCCTTAGAAATTGTAGCAGATGTATTTATCAAGTCTGCTTTTTTTTTTTGTCCTTTGTTTTTATTTTAAGCATCCATTCTCCCCCTACCCTGACCTCTAGCCTCCTTTGTGATCTTAGGACAATGGCAATATATTAAAATAGTCTCATGAAACAAGGAAAGGGAATTTTCAAAAAGTGTATTCTTAAAAGCATGCATGTTTTGAAAAATATAGAAAAATCATGTCAGTTAATGTGAACCATCAAAGAAGTTAATTATATGAGGGCAGTGGATGTCTATTAATTTGACAGCTATTATTCTGTGAAGTGCATTTTAAATCGAAATATCAAACATGGTAAACAAAAGACCAACAGCTGTGTTTTAAAAAAATGTGTTGTGGGTGGGCTTTGTGGACTGTTACAAGCCCAGTTCATTAAATGATGTGAGTTTTGATTTTCAGTTATAAGAATATCATTGAATATATTACTCATTTTGACTCTTAACTGAAATATTCTTGTAGTATCTTCAATTTTCCCTGTCAGTCATATCTGATTTGAAGTCTAAAAAATAAGCCCCTGTGACTGTCAATAATGAAGATACTGACAGAACCATCTATGCTGTTAGATGGAGTTTTAAAAGCTGTTTAAAATTGGAATAGATCAAATTTCTCAGGATTTAAAAGGTAGTGTGATCTAAAACTACAAAACCCAAAGTGTTCTACTGCCCCCTGCTGCTTGTGTTCATTTTATAACAAGATTGATCAGAAAGTAGGCATAAAGTCCAAACCAGGCAGTGGTGGCACAAGCCTTTAATCCCAAACTCAGGTAGGCAAATACCTGAGTTTGAGGCCAGTCTGGTCTATAGAGCGAGGTCCAGTACAACCAGAGCTACACAAGAAACCTTGTCTCAAACAGACCAAAAAGAAACAGAGAGAGAGAGAGAGAGGAGAGAGAGAAGAAAAGAAAATTCAAAGCTGAACAGAAATCTAGAAATATGTTTAATTTACTTAAATGACATACCCAAGATCAAGTAATGACTGCATACCTGGGACTAGAAAAAAATGAATCTTAAGCAAGTGGTTCATTGATTCATGACTTCCTCGCGCATCCATTTAGCTATTTCTGGGATGTCTTTTATGGACTAAACATTGTATTAAAAATTGCTAAAAAACTAGTCAAAGTATCTTCACAAAACATTTTAGCAGACTACAAAGCATTACCAGAGAATATATTTGGAAATGTTTATAATACCACAGTATTATTATATTATTGATGCCATGTCTAATGAAAGCCTAAATTTGGAATGCTACAGTACCAATAAAAAACAACTTTGATATACATATTTTCTAACTTATTTCTTGGTTCATTGGTTTATCATTTTTTTTATTTTCTCTGTTTTAGAATAAAAAATAATGTAGACCCTTTAACCGAAGTGTGAGTTTGTCTTTGAAGCTAAGATTTAAGAACATAACAATGAATAATTAGTTTAATTCTTTTTGATAAGCTGTACCCCCATGATATGAGAAGTTTTAAAACTAGAATTCTTACAAGCCACTTTGAGAATAGTAGACATTTCTTATTAGTGGCATAGAGATATTCCATTTAGCCTTTGATTCACTGCATGATGGCAAGTGAACTGTAAAGAAGTCCCTTGCTGGCACCATCTAGATGTTTGTTGAAAACAACTCAGAGTTTCCTTTTTCTGCTTAAAAACATATTTTTCCAAACATAAATACATTGATGAAAATAAGTACTGATTATAATACATATATTGGTAATAGGTTTGGCCAGAATAAAGTTTTTAATTTGGCTTTAACTATCACATAGTAATGAATGATAAAAAAAAAATGAAAGGAAAGCCTATAGCAAGATACATATAGTTTTACTCCATGCACTGAGGCCTAGAATGAACATTATACTCACTGCTATAATTTAAAATGTACATGTCCTCAGATTTAATTATGCTCTTTTCTTTTTGGCATTGATTATGGAAACTTGCTTTGAAATAAGCATTAGTTTAATGTTGACTTTTCATACATACAAACAAGACTAAACATATTGTTTATTTGTAAAATACCACAGAAATGAATTATATCATTACATTCGGTTGATTTTTGAAAAGAGTGTTCATTGCCCATAGTAATCAATTATTAACCTGGAGGTGGTGGCGGGGAGGAGGCAGAAATCTTAAATAAATAAATAAATAAATAAATAAATAAATAAATAAATGAGGTGTGCTCTAAAAAAAAGAAAGAAAAACTTAGAAAATCTACATAATTTAAACCAAATGTATTGAAGCAAATGGCTTTCCTGTTGCAGTCTATTTCATTCACTTTATAAATGCAAATCTTTATCTGATAGCATTTCTTTTTTTTTTGTTTGTATTGGCATTTGTGAAATAGTAATCATTTTTCTTAACAAAATGGTTTCCTATCCAAATATCAACAAGCCTTTTGTTACCAAGTAATGTCAATGTCTGTTCATATAGAGAATGAGTTTTCTCAAAAGAAAATTTCATTTTTCTTTTGCTGAGATGGGCAGTACCTGCATTGAAAACACATATACCACTTAAACTTATAAAAAACCGGACTCTCTAGTAAGGTGAGCATCCAAACTGCCTAGGCTCCCACAAAGCCAGTACATGCAGTAGGACCAAAAACCCAATGCCGGGGAAGAGACGGAAATCTTTAATAAATAAATAAATTTAAAAAAAAAAAAGGACTCTCTGAATATGGTGGACAATGAGGGCTGCTGAGAAGCCAAGGACAATGGCACTGGGTTTTGATCCTACTGCATGTACTGGCTTTGTGGGAGCCTAGCCGGTTTGGATCACAGCTTCCTAGACCTGGAAGGAGGGGGGAGGACCTTGGACTTCCCACAGGGCAGGGAACCCTGACTGCTTTTTGGACTGGAGAGGAAGGGGAAGGGAGTGCAGTATGGGGAGTGGGGGAGGGGGAGGGAAAAGGGAGGCATGGAGGAGGCAGAAATTTTTAATAAAAAAAAAAGAAAAAAAAAACATTCTATTCTATTCCTGGAACTCATAGATACTCAAGAAATAATCTTTAAATGACTGGCAAAAAATATCCAATTTTCCAACTACTGTATTGGAGAGCCAGGGTTTCAATTGAGAGCATCATTCTGACTTAAAAGACTAAGATTTCCAACTCATCTTACAGGTTAGCTATTACATCCAAAATAGGAGAGCAGAATAAGTCCTGATTTTGAACTTTTTTATCACCTGTATTACAGGTGGTTCTATCCTTTGAATGCAGTTTCAGGAATAATACTTAAGGGAAGTCAGAAGTTTGAAATGTCATAAAGACCACAAACTACTTGTACTACATGACACACATGAATTTTTTTTTTTAATTTGGCAAACACTTGTTTAAAGCTGGAAGCCTGATACTATGTTTCATGTCTGTAATCCCAGCACTTTGGAGGCAAATGTATGTGGATCAGAAGTTCAAGATCATTCTCTCCTGAGGAGACAGTCAAGACAGATTTGGCCTCCATAGAGTCCTAGACCAACTAATGCTTGCTACATAGAGAGACCTTATCTCAAATCTAAGCAACAAGATAACACAAAAGTAAAATACACAAAGAAATTAGTAGCTTTAAGTTCCTCTTGTATCTCTGCCACAAAATTTTTTATTGATAATTTTTAAAGGAATTAAATTCCAGATATTCTTCAAATTCTGAAATGTTTCACAACTTTCCAATTACAGTATCTGATGAAGGGCACAAAATACCACAATGTCCCATATATTTATATTATAGTCCATTGATTGGTAGTACGGTATAGCATGATGTCATTATCTTATGCTGCAAACTTTGTCTCAGCCTTTCAGAAATTTTTGTGAAGCAAGAAGGCATTTTTTTTACTATGTTATTGTAATAAATGGAGAACAACCTTTATTTGCCATTGTAGGTTTATATTTTTTCACAGATTTCTATTGTATTCAATTTTATCGGTGGTTCCAGAAATAATAACACAATTTAGAAGGATAATTTTTCTTCTTGCTACAACACAAAAGAAGTCTAAGCAAGCTTGCTCAAGAGAGTTTGCCAATGGACTCTTAATGGAGTCATATTCCAACTTGCCCTCTAACAGGAAATTATGTCATTACATTATACCCTGGAGGTTTAGAATTTGATGAATGAAACACATTGAAATGAACCTTTAAAACATCCTAGGTTAACACCTTATTCTAGGAACTGGCTGATTGGTTTATTTTTAATTAATTCAAGTTGGTTATTATTTCTCTACTCAAACTTCATTAGCAGCTGACTGTCACTTTGAAGGCAATTGAAAACTTTAACTGTGGTCTTCCGGGTTGAGACCTAACCAGGAACTGATGCATGATGATTTTGTATTGGATTTTGTTTGTTTATTTGGTTTGATTTTTACCCTCTTTGCTGAACCAAGACCACAGCATTGGCATCTTCCTTATTCTATAGGCACATTTCTCATCAGAAATTTAACACTGCCTGTTCCTTGGTCATTTTTCTTCCTGCTATGTTGACCTGTACCTCCATTCATGGTTCACATCTATGCTCTTATCACCTTCCCAGAAGAATCTGATTCCTTTGTGAATCTAAAAATGAGCTACCATCTCTTTTTTGGACCTTCTTGGATCTTAGTAATACTTGCTATTATAGTCAAGGTATATTGATTGGTTTATTGATGACTTGTTGGTTTTTGTGGCATAACATTGCTGTCTAGCCCAGTCTGGACTCTAGTAAATGATTCTCCTACCTCAGTCTCTCCAGTGCTGACTGCAATCATAGTCATGCCACATTTTTATTTGGTATGCATTTACTGATGGACTGCCTATACATGAGAACAGCAGCTTTATTTCTGTTGTTAGCAATAATGCCTTAAACTGTATAACTGAGATACATTTAAATATTTATTGAATGGATTAATTTATCAGATAAATTGATATATTTTTGTAATTTATTTTTCTATTTTAATCATATCCTGTATATTGCAGTCATGATTTAGTGATGAGAATATAGAAATCTAAGAGGATAAGCCTTTAAAAGGGGGAGAAAACCTTGCTCAGTAACTAAAATTTGCTCTTGTGCATGGGTGGCAGTCATTTTTTCATTAGTTTTATGGCATTTATAAGAGATTTCCTTTTCTTTCACTAATGCAAAGAGCCCACCATTTTTTTTAATAGCTATTGCACTGTGGTTAGAAATACATGAAGTAAAGTTATATAATTCTGCTATTGGCAGAGGTTTAACTATTATCTAAAACTTTAAACCAGAAAGAAAGTGTAGTTTCTGTGTCCAGTGTCAAGAGACTCTCCTTTTCATCTACTCTCAGTAGTAAGGTGGAAGAATAGCAAGCAGATGCAAGCCCAGATTAGCATTGAGCTACAAGGCTACCACATTCGCAATTCTATATTAATTCAAATAGTCTTTTCTATACTGATCATTATTAAAGAAACTTAGGATTTTGAGGAACCATATGATTCTTTATCAGTTTTATGCCAAAGCTAGATGATTGCCATGTAGACTTGCAAGGAGAGTTGATCATATTGGTAATGTGACGCTTTCTGGATGCTGAGAATAAGTGAGGGTAGATTTCAAAGTCTGAAATTCTTTTGTTCTTTTTAAGGTTAAGAAAATATCAAAACTAGCTAGGCAGTGGTAGCACATGTCATTAATCCCAGCACTCTGGTGGCAGAGGCAGGCAAATCTCTGTGAGTTTGAGGCCAGCCTGGTCTAGGTCTACAAGAGCTAGTTCCAGGACAGGCTCCAATGCTTCTGCAAAACTCTGTCTCAAAAACCAAAAAAAAAAAAAAAAAAAAAAAAAAAAATCAAAACTATATGCATAATACACACACACACACACACACACACACACACACACACACACAAATACCTATCATGCAACCAACACAAAGTATGTTGTGTTTAACTGTTTATATTTTTGTTGCTAAAATTCTGGAATTTAGAGTATTTTTAATAGGACCTAAAGAGTAATCACTTTTAAAAAAATTGTTTCATATGTCAGGGCTATCTTTATTTTTTTCAAGTGTCCAGAAAAAAAATACATTGATCATTAGGATATTGTGTTTTTTTTTTTTTGTAACTATAGCTCTGCCGTTATGATGTGGCCAGTGTATAACTGAATGAGCATGACTGTTTGAATTAATTTTAAGCCCATTTTATGTATATCTCTACCTAGATTTTAAGGAAAAATCACCTTTCTTGAGTGTTAAAGCATTCAAGGTAGGCGAATATGGCAAATTTAGCCCCATACATTCTAATTAAATTAATTTAATTTAAATTAAATAGAAATTGTGTAGTAGTTATTCCAAAAGGAAGTTATAAATTTTAAATGGGTGACTTCGTCTCCTGTGTAATCCAGTGTAGTGACTTTCATATAATAATACCCATAGGATATATGGCCCTTTAATTTTAGGTAGTTAAAATAAGCCTTCCCCTTCCTTCCCTTCCTGTTTAATTGTTTTGTTTTATATTAATAAACATGACTCATCACAATTCTCCTTCATTCCTGAGTTAGAACCAAGAGCTATCTAAAAACTAATATTTAAGTTTTGTTTCTGTTATAGTAGTCTTCTTGGCCTTGTTTTTTCTGGATCATTATTCCTTTTTCCTTCACTGACTTAATTTTTTTTAAATCCAATGGGAAATATATATGAAAATATGTGTAAGATCTTGTATAAGGGGTATAATTAGTTACAGCTTCCTGACAAAGATGACTTTTCAGTCTCTTTTAAAGATGAGAAGTGTAGACTTGGTGAGAGGGAAAGGTTGAATGAAAATAGTTTCTAATTAGATAAATAGAAGCAAAAACATCACAATGATTCTTCCTGGAACATTGGGCTGAATCAGATGGTTATGAACAAAGGTATAGTTAAAATTTCTGTTGCAACGAATAATCACTAAAAAATGTTGAATTTTTCAGTTCCTTAACTATAAAAAATAGTGAGGGTTTAAGTCTGCGTTGATGCCACTGTTGCTAGCTCTTTATGGATTTTGTATGAAGCAGTTTAGTATAAATAGTGACGCTGACTGTCTTTAGTGATAATTGTACATGCGTTTGCAAAGCAAGTATCAGTACTTTGTATATTCATGAATTATTATGTTTTACTAATTTCATTAATTGCTAATAACAATTCACCAGTTATTAACAGAACAATTATTACAGTATTGTCAGAGTAGCTAAACAAAAAAATTAAGTAAATAAATAAATATAAAAGAATAAAAGAAAATGTTGTTGATATTTTAAAAGATGACATTTACAATTATTAATGCTTTAAATTTTGGTCTTTATACTTATTTTATTAAAAATTAGCTTTTGAATTTATATTTATATGCCTATGCTGATTTATTTGCTTTAAATAACTTCATAATTTTGTTTGATTTTTCTTTTTTCAGTTGTTCTGCAGGTCTGCAGCCTGGTTCTTTACCCAATCAAGTTTATTGAGACTGTGAGCTTGAAAGTTTACCACGAGTTCAACTGGGGCTATGGCCTGGCTTGGGGGGCAACTATATTTTCATTTGGGGGTGCCATCCTTTATTGCCTGAACCCTAAAAACTATGAAGACTACTACTAAACCAAGTCTCAGCACACACACACACACATACACACACACACACACACACACACACACACACACACCACAAAGAGAGAAACTGACCAACAAAAACGATTTATGTCATCATCTTTTTTAACAATATTTTCTAAAACACTCATGGAGCATTAAGCAGTTTGCACAGTTGATTTAATATCCTTTCCCTTTTGGCTGTCAACATCATAACCAGCTTTTATATCCATTTTAGAGAACTGCACAAATTAAGAGAGCTGATTAGATGTAGGCACATGCTGCAAACTACCAATATGCTCATGCCATTTTTCTTGACAAGTGAAGGGTTTGTATGACAGCAACCATTGTGAGAAGCTAGATGGAAGGAAAATTGCCATAGTCTCTTATTGCCTGCAGGGGAGCATCTGGCATAAGCAACATTTAAAAGTTGCTTTGTTCTGACAAAGAGTCTACTGTTGGAGCCCCTATCACCTGTTTATAATGCACAGTGACTACATTGGCTATTGGTTACTTGCTTGAGTGAGATTTTAAAAGCAAAACTGTTTTGAGCATCATATGATAGTCAGATAATTCTATGTTTAAGCATGTTCTTCTTAATGGCAAGTTATAGTTACACAGTAAGGAGGCCAAAGTTTGGAGACATGCATTTTTAATTATGCAGACAGGAAATTGTGCCTCAGCCTCCTCTAAAATGAGGCAAAATGAGAGTATCTGCTTTCCCCGGGGGCAATCAGAAAGAAATGTACATGAGTTGCTTTTGTACCCTTTAAATTATTCACCAAAATTTGCAGCAAACAATTGTGCATATGTAACAAGCTTATTTTTCTAGACTGTGCGCCATTAGTATAAATGTTAATAAGCTGTTCATTATTCCTCCACATACATACCTATCATGCATATAATCAATACTTGCTCTAGTGAAGTCATTTGAACACTAACTTTGTGTGCATTAAGAAGCTTAGATCAACATTCAAAAGTTCATATACCTTAAAGCTTTGCTCTATGTTCTCTACTGAATCACTGGAAAGTGTTATAATTGCCTAAGAAGCAAAATTGAAATGCTGTTAATCTGAAATTTAATGATTGTTTCATAAAGCACTGCAGTTCAAAAGAAAGTAGGAATTAGGATGATCACTTTGTATAAAATTCATTAAAATACAAGGCTGCTATTTTTGCAAGTATTTTAAATGTCTTCATTTTAAAGAAAGCAATAGTGATAGAGTTATATAAATGTCTAAGTGTATCAGTAGGTGAGTTGAATTTATTTGGTTGTCACCTGGTCCTCTGAAGTTAACTGATGAGCTAACTGATTTGTGCACACAAGTATGATGAATTTATGTTAGGGAAATCATTCACTGACTGTTCCAAGGGAAGGAAATATTAACAATAGGAGAAAGTTTGCAATTAATTTCCTACTGCAAACTTTGTTCATTTTGTTTATTATACAAATCTGGATAATTTAAGTATAAACCTATTTTTATATAAAATATACAATTCTGATATTAAAGTTATAAATGATTATTTTTGTTAATGAAGACACTAAAACAAGTATGCTCTCATGTGACCCTCTTGAAGAAAGAAACATTGGGGAAAAAAAAACTTTAAAATGTACCTATTTGCTAAAATATAATCCAATCAGAGCAGGACCATGTCAAGAGTATTTAATAATTTGTTTTACCTCACAGAGCAGACTTCTGCTTTCAGCTTAAGAATGGTTGCCAAAAACATTTCCCTGCCCCCAAAGGATTTTACTGAAATGCCAAAACCAATTGTGAATTTTCTTTGGAATCACAAAGTAATTATGAATACATAACTCATTCTGGTTTTAGTAGTGATAAACAAAAGTTATTAAATTTATCTTACAGGTAAAACTTTATGAAAGTATATAATTTTATCAAGAATTGTAGGAAACTGAATGGAAAATCTCCAGAAGAGTATTAGTATTGTAGAATATTTTGAGATAGCTTTCTTAAAATCATAAAATCTGGTGTGGACTCTCTTATAAAGTTCTTTGCATATTGTCAGAACAGAATGAGGAATGTGATATTTGGATAGGGATTTCAGTTACTGCTCACAGTCTCTTGTGAGATGATCTCCTTATTCTTGAATTATGGAAGATCAGTACTGTGGTCCTCGCATCAATGAGGCTTGTTGGAGGCTACAGTGTGCAGGTGGACCAGTATCATATCTAGAGTGTCATTCTCTGTCCACCTGACAATCCAAAAGGTGACAGACTATGTTACAGGTTGAAGCACACAAATTTGTAGTCTATTGAGAAGTAGATTCCTTCTGTAATTGTAATGAACCCTATATCGTATTTTTACCACCACTAATATTTGGAACTTTTACATTGCTAACAAAACTTAGCAGAAAATTGTTGTTCCTCATCCAAAGCAGTATTGTGTCTATCAGAATAAATACAAGTGTCTATTTAAGCTATACTAGCCTCATGTCTTTGTAGCTTTAGGTTAGTTTGGTATTTTCTTAAGCAGAATTGTTAATCATGAACCCATGGTTTATCTTAGAGAGTTAATATACATAGAGAGATATCATAAAAGTACTCAGCAGGGCTAGTTATTCAGATTTCTTGCACAAGTATTTAGCTTTTTGTAAGGTAAACATGTAAATTTTAAAGACAAATATAGAGAGACTTATGTGTTTGAAATATAAATGTTATATATGGATTAGCATGTACCTGTATATTATTAAACATGCAGTGAACTGACTGGTAAGTGATTGTCTAATTGTATGGCTAGCAATGTAATTTATTCAGACTGTATTTTTGTACAGAGCAGCGCACACTAACCTATGCCTCTGTGTCCTCCTTAATGCCTAAAACTGTGCCTAGAAATTTCATCTGTCTTAAAGGAAATAAAATGTATCCCATTCTGTTTCTGATATTAGTTTCTCTCTTACTATTCTGTATTTATTATTTTTAAATATCTGACATGAGTACTACATAAATATGAATTTATGGTATTCTGTTTTTTTTTCTTAACAGTCATCTTGTGAAACCGTTATTTCATTCCAGTGATTCTTGTGTGTGTAGTCCCATGATCAGTTCTTCATTTCATGATTTTTGTAGTTGACCTGAAATTATCTATGTGAAAGAAATAAAAATAAAAGTGGATTCACTGATAATGCTTCATTCTATGTCTTTTCTTCTGTGTAAACCCTTTAGACAACATTTCTAAATTGCATATCTTCAGTTCATTTTCTACTTTAAAATATATAGAAAACTTACCATAATGTGACACACTTATAGTTTTATTCTCAAATCATTGACATGTCTTTGTTGTACAAAGCAAATGTTTTCATGGTGACAATTTTTTACAAGGACATCACTGTGACTGTATCTTCACATTTAATTTTCCTATATTATATCCCACCACCTCTTCCTAATGGGCTTTTTAAAACTTTTTTATATGATGGTGTGTGTGTGTGTGTGTGTGTGTGTGTGTGTGTGCGTGTTTATTTTTGCTGTTCTTTGCATGTGTGTTTCCTTTTTTCCTGTGCTATGGATAGATCCTGAGGCCCCTACACATGCTAGGCAAGCATGCTACCACCAAGTTACACTCGCAGCTTCAAAAATATTTTGAATTTTTTTTTACATAAATTCTCCTCTATGATCCCTCCTGTCTTCCCCAAGTGAGTCAGATGGAGAATCAGTGATAACATCAAGAAATATTGTCTTCTTGTTTTAAAATTGTTCTGTTAAAATGTACAGACAGTTTGTGAGGATTTGTGTAGGTTGCAGTGTTTGCAGGTTGTATTAAAATGTATTTTTGAAATCCTCTTCTAAAGAGGCACGCTCTATATTCAGTGTGGATTGGTAAATAAGCTTCTTCATATCTTATGAAAAAGTTAAAGATAAGAATCTACCAGTAACATTTTGCGTGTATGAATAGTATGCTTAGCAAGCAATTTCAATTACACATTAGGTAAATCCAATTGTATGCTTACCAGATAATTTACCAGAAGATAAAAGTAGAATCATTCAGTTGAGCAAACTTTCTTCAAAATGCCAGTTGGAATATAAATGTATTTGTCACAAAGACTACTTTTCAAGACTCATGAATCATCAAATTTGAAGAATTTTAGTTTTGCTGCTGAGAGAGCTAATGTAAAGTGTAATATCACAAACTAAAATACACATATTTAATAAATTTTATCTTTTTCTCAGTTTTTCTGTTTGAATGGTTTTCCTTTTTAGTGATAATAACATCACTTGTTTACTGTATTACATTTTCATTATGAATACTTACCAATTTCATAGAAAATTCTCATGAGAAAATCACCTTTATAAACATGTCTTGCCTAGTATTTATGCATGACCTAGTTTCTCTGAATTTGCAGACATGGAAACAGATTCATCGGATGTGACAAGAAAAATCCTTTAACTTCAGAGGTTTTATTGTAAACATAAAACAAGAAAGAAATTTTAATTTATTTTTTCATAATGGTCATGTAGCATGAGCAGTTAGCTTAATTGTCAAGCCTGTATTATTTCAACAATGTTCTATTTCTATAGTTTCAGTCCTTTTGTTTAGAAAATAAGATGATAGCAAAATTGCATTTCCTGAAAAGTCCCTTAATACATTATCAAATTTTCATGTTAGGACTTACTGTTAATATAGTTTCAGAAATGCAATGTCATCTGATAAAAAAAAAATGAAACTTTAAATAAAATTAGAATTTGGGACTTAGACATATTTTCACAGAGAGCTTCATTTATTTGAATGATTTAAATCCTGTGTCAAGTTATGGGACATTTTTGTAGCAATCTAAACTTAAATGACAGACTTAATATCCAAACTCAGCATAATGAAATGATATCAATTTTCTAATGTGAGCAAGTTGAGTATTGTTTAACTATGAGTAAATTTAACCCTAGGCAATGACGGTGTCCAATCTAGAGTGTAAGTTACACCCACATCCATCTAAAATTAGACTATGTACACACACTTGGAAAAAAATCTATTTTCATTGTAACAAACTAGGTGACTCACATTTATATTCCAGAAGTAGGTCCAAGGGTTCCAAAGTTTAGTTAAGAGAACAGTAGCTGAACTGTTCAAGTGGAAAGGATAATATGTAGTGTTTCTAAGCCAAGATTAACAACACACAAAGAATAGCCTTCTTTGTGAAACTAAGGCTGTTTTGAGTGGTTCACCAGAGAAACTCAGTTTTGGCAGGGAATTATTTCCAAGTTGAATGACTTCATAGAATGGCTATAAAAGAAGCTGGGAACAAGCACTGGAAAACCATGTCATCAAACCACTGGAGACCTGGAATACTTCAATCTGCATATGTCAAGCATTAATGAAGAGAGAGAGAGAGAGTGTGTGTGTGTGTGTGTGTGTGTGTTTGAGTGTTAGATGAATGAAAATGCATCAATTAGTATTACCCTATTTATGAGACACAACTATACACAGAGGCAAAAGTAAAACATTTCATGGATAAGATGCTGGTTCATTCTTTTACTTTCAGATTGCTTTGAATTTATTATAAGAAATATCAATTATTCATAGAATTATTTAATTTTAAATAAAAAGATAGGTCAGAATTAAAATTTTAAAAAATTGTTTAAAACCTGATCATTTGTCTTAAGACTGTTAGGAATGGGAGCTTAATTGTTAAGATTAAATGAAGTAGAAGAATTATCCTTGCTGGTTTTGATAACTTCGTGGTAACTTCAAAGACAGCTAAGGCTAGTACATTTCCCACGCAGGCTTGCAAACCATTTTTGTAGAGTAAGCTCCTTTTTGCTTGTACTCTGGGGTAATTTGCCAACTTGTAGCATAAAAAATAGGCTTTCCAGTTATCAATGCCTAGGTGATTATTGCTCTTACATATTATTTAGTTATTATGGTTGTATTGATTTGAGGTATATAATATATAAAAAAGAAATCAAGTTGTTATAAAAGTTTTAGTACATAGTCTTTATAAATATGTTTCTTATTTGACTCCAAGCTTCTTTTGACTATTGGAACATTATCTGGCATAAATATGACATGATGTAGAAATCCTTATGGAGAAATAGTTCATATGTTGTTTCCAGTTACATTCTCTAAATGAAAACAAGGTATTCTTAAATGTTTCCTTATGATAAAGAACTTTGGAAAAAATCTACTGATTGAATGCTTCCTTATGATAAAGAACTTTGGAAGAAATCTACTGCTCGGAATTCAATGAATAAACCTCTATCTTTTGTACACATTTTTCTAGTAAACATTCACAATGTGGAATTCTTTAAGTTACTTTCCCTCACTTGTCAGGCTTATGTGAAATATTTTCTTAGCCATCTCTGAAAGTCAATATCAGGACATATTTAGCGAGGCATTTCAGCTTTAGGAAAATGCATTATGACTCAAACTCTAGTAAGCTACTGCCAATGATTGCATGACCTCTTTAAACCAGAAATATATCAGTTAAGATGATGCAACAAACAATTAAGTTACCCATCTCTTCAAACCTAAAGCATTGTTTAGCTTCACTTAATACTGACTGACTTTTATGATGTTTAGATGAGGAAAACAAATGTAATAAACTTCGGATAAAGCTAGCCAAGTTTTGATTCACAAGAATATTTATATACACATTCCACACACTTAAGTACTTAGAATAAGTTCACTATATCCATTTTGGAATTTGAACATTTTGTAAATTGTTTGCAATCTGCAAAAATACAATGTTGAAGTCAAAAGTAAGGGTTGTGGGAAATAACCTACAGGGAAAGTTATCAACAAATTGGCTCTTCCAGGTATTGTCATTTACTCATAACTGCATGCTGAAAGGCTGTGTACATATAAGGAGCAGAATTCAAAATTTTTGATGTCATTGATTACTTTTGGGACTTATGATCCTACTATATTGATTTCTCTGTGAACAATAGAAGATTTGGCAGTCAGCCATATTTGCACCACATGCTGCTGTACCCTTCAGAGATGTTTATAACTGAGACACTTCCTGCCTTTAGCTACTTCCATCCCATTTCTCGTGCCCATTAATTTGAAATTGGTCTCTGCATGTAGCTACTAATAAAAAGGCATAGAATATGGGTTCTGGGGTGTGTGCTGAGTGAGATCCAAGTAAAACAAAACAGAAAATGAAGGCGTGAAATAACTACACAAAAGAAAGTGAAAACCATGTGGAACCCAGACAGAGTCTCAATTATTAGTAATATCTTACTTTCCATGAAATGCCTATCTTACTTTCCATGAAAAACACTTATCCTTACAATAAAATTTAATTTTGTTCACCTAAATCTAGTTAAGCAAAGGAGAACCTTGACAAAGATCCTTTTAATGAAAGGATCCATATTCAAGTTATGTTAAGATTCCAAAAAGGAATTGCAAAATATGTTGGCATTTCTTAACACATTTTCCTTCTGATCCTAGGGTGCATAATAATCTCAATCAACAAAAGCTTCTATTATCTTCACAGGAATATTGTAATAGTGCTGCTGATGTTCAGGTGATTTGAAACCACCTAGAATCAAACATGTGGTATCAGACTTGGTATTATCTATTATGAAAAAATAACTTGTCCCTCCACCTTAGAGAAGGAGCTGCTTGGTTACTTTAAATATACAACCCAACGGCTAAATTGTCTTTCTGTTTACATAGTACCTACGCACATAAAAATCAATTGTTTACAAATCCAAGAAACTGGACCCATTGCAAGGACCTAATCTTTGGCATATGTGTATTCCCATCTCAGCCTGGGGTTACATAAGTATATAGAGAAAAACATTTCTCATATTTGCTTGTGTTGCATGGAGGAGGGCCTGCTTGTTCATCCTGGCCACCTGCCTTGCTTAGCCCCGAAATAACCAAACAGAAATTGTATTAATTAAATCACTGCTTGGCCCATTATCTCTAGCCTCTTATTGGCTAACTCTCACATTTTGATTTAACCCATTTCTATTAATCTGTATATCGACATGTGGCAGTGGCTTATGGGAAAAGATTCTATCCAGCATTCATCTCAGGCAGTGGATCCATGGCTTCTCTCATTCCACCCTTCTTCCTCCCCTCATTCAGTTCTGTTTTCTCTGCCTACCTACATTATGCCCTGTCAGCTAGGCCAAAGGAATGTCTTTATTCATTAACCAATGAAAGCAATACACAAACAAAAGG